AGTAACGCATATGAAAACTTGCACACTTCATAACTAGAGTGCGCTACCAGCCAGGAAGAATAATGAAAATTCATTTTATACACTCTTTGAATTTGGTTATATAACTTTTATACTAAGGGTTACATAATAAAATAAGTTTTTTAGTAAACTTTTAACTAAAAAACTTTACATCCATTACATAAACAATGAATATTCTTTAGCTTGTGGTTATTTACGGTTTATACTTTTAAAAACACATTTTTTATATAACTCTGCTACTAGGGTACTGTCATCCCCCATGTAATAGTCGGCCAGTTTCTGTTAGCGAATTTGTTGAAGTCACGATAACATAAGAAAATGAAAAGAGAAAGGAGAAGAAGAGGAAGAAAAAGTGAGAAAAGCGAATAATAAAAGAGAGAAGAAAAAGGAAAGTGGAAAAAAGAGAGGAAGAAGAAGTTGAAAAAGAGCGAAAAGAAAGAGAGAAAGAAGAGGGAGAAAAGAGAAGAAGAGGGAGAAAGAAAGAGAAATAAAAAGGAGAATGAAAAAGAAGAATGTGAAAAAAATAAGAGGAAGAAGAAAAGAAGGAGGTCGTGGAGAAAAGAGAAAGTAAGTAGGAAAGAGTATGAATAAAGATGAGAAGAAATATAAGACAAGAGAAGGACGAAGAAGACCGTCATGTCAGTTTTCCTTCAATTTGTAGTGTAGGCAACACACGCTCCCGAGTGGTCGAATAGTGGTATCACTAGTTGGCAGGCATACGGGCTGCAAATTCGTTGTGCATACGATACCGAAAAAAAGATGATGAAAAGGAAAAGTAGAAGAAGAAGCAAAGTAAGTGAAGCAGAAAAGAGAGTGAAGAAGAAAAGGCAGAGTAGAGGGAGATAAAAAAAAAGAAGTAATAGGAATGAGTGATAGACAAGAATCGATCAAAAGTGATAAACGTGAATCGATCAACATAGATCGATCGAGAAACATAGAAAAACAGGCTCTATTCCATTTTTCAATCGAAATAATTCTGGTCTATTACCCTGGAGAATTACTCACTTGAGGAAGTCATCATTAATTATAATTATAGGGCGAGGTACCTAGACCCGTGACTTCAGTCACGGGCCTTTTTTTCGCTGGTGTGTACTGGTTTCGTAGTTAAAGATAAGGTAAATTTTTTATGCTAATATTCTATTCCAATTTGTGTGTCGCGTTTCACGAACAAACTTACATATTTTAGGTACAGGGCCGGATTTATCTACTTGCCGCCCATGGGCCGCCTGTATTTTGCCGCCCCTTCTCATTCGTTTTCAAACATCGATGCAAACCATCAAGTGAACGTGCCGGAGGAGGAGGGGTATATAAGACGCATTTACTCGTATTGGGCACATTTTTTATGAAAGCCCTGTCAACATTAGCAAAAGTTCACGGAACTTTGCGCGAAAGTTAAGTTCCGTAAACCTACCTCTGTGTGGGCAAGGCCTTTCATTTATAAGAAATGAACGAAAAAATTATGAAAGAATAAAAAATGAATGTGGTATTATAATTTCAATTCCCGCCACCGCGCCATCCGCACTGTGTTTGGCGCAATGTGTGAAGTATTCCTACAGTCTTGTAGGCGCTATGCATTTCTCGCCACCCGATGCTGACCGCACTGCGTTTGACGCAATGCGTGAAGTATTCGTGCAGTCTTGTAGGCGCTAATATTATGTGTTACATGCCGACCGCCGCACCTGAGGGCTTCTCCTTTTCATCTCAAGTCCTCGTCATCATTGCTCTCTGCGCCGCGCCGCTCCATGCCAAAATGCGTGTTTGGTTTCTCTCTCACCTAGACTAAATGAAAGGCGCTGTCTCTCGTATCACCGAAAGACGAACAAATTAGAAATTAGTATACTTTAACTCTCAGGAAATGAGGGATTTTGCCGCCTTTTCTTGTCTGTAATTTTTTTCCTGAATCCGATTTTTTTTTTTTTTTTTTTTTTTTTTTTTTTATACCTACTTTTGAAAAAATGGCAACATTTGCGGCCCCCTAAATTTGTCGCCATGGGCCGCGGCCCATGTGGCCACTCTCTAAATCCGGCCCTGCTAGGTACTTCAATTTATCTTACTACTTATAAGCTTTCCTGTGGCATCTTCTTGGAGATAGTCTATGGGCCTTTGGGGCCGCGGAGAGCATGTGAAGAGTTTATGCCCCCTTGGATACACTTTAAGTACATATTCGATACCACTTACTCAGGAACATCCCTTGAAAAATACCTGCGAAACGGAGGATAAAAGTGAAAGGTTTTCACAGATCTTTCGTTCGAGGTTTGTCTTGAATCCGGGTGGATTTTATTTTTTTACGCAAGATGAGAGATTTTTAATCACTTGAGATGCAAGTTTGGAGCATAACTTCTGACATTTTTTTTTCTTTTTCAATAGGTTTTAAAATAATTCCTAAAGATACAAGAATTCTCATCATGCTGGCTAGTCTTCATCATCATCCTGATTTTTGGGAAAAACCATATGAATTTTATCCAGAACATTTCTCTCCGAAAAATGTCAGCAGTCGAATAAAAAATACCTTCCTGCCATTTTCTCTTGGAATGCGAGACTGCCCAGGTAGGCAAAATGATGTACTCCAAAACTATTTGCTCCAAAATTCGAGGATTTCGTTTTTTCCCAACGAAAACATTCTTCTAATTGTTTAAAAATTAACACCTTATAATATACTACAAGGATGTGCCCCCTGGTCGCTAAGCGCCTCAACTTTTACAGGGTGATTTGCGCTCTGTAAGAATTAATCTATATAGAGTAGGATTATCAATTAACTTTTTACCATCAATAGCCAAAAAATTTTTGAAAATCGACCCAGTACATCTTCCAAACGGACTGTGACAAAAAATGAACATTTAGAGGATCAAAAAGCTTGTGGTAATGAAATCATAATACACTAACAAACCTCGAGTTGGTTAGTAAAAAAGGGAAAAGGCACTAGCTACTATTTCAGATAAAAATGATGAACTGTTTCCTTGAGTTGAAGACTTTTTCAATAGAATTCAATATTTTGTTCGAAATGAATATTTCTGACTTTTCTTTCAGGAGGAAAATATGCAATTCAAACTATGAAGTATGTTTTGGCACGGACACTCCTGGAAATGAAATTCACAGCTCAGCACATGAAGCGTTGGTCAAATGTCTATACAGAGAACGATTTGAAATTTGGCTTTACGCAGGTCCCAACCAAAGGGTTTATATCAACTGTCAAGCTGAGAAATGAAGCCACAAAACATGGTTAAAAATTTTAGAATCATCAATTTTGATATTGCATCAATTATCAGGGTACATGGTTGGTTTTAAAGAGAAAAATTGAGAGGTACTACTTTCTACGGTAACCTTGTGTGATTATTTGAACATATATTTAACCTAATCTTTGAAAAACTGAAAAATTGAGTTACTAGAATCTAAAGGATCAGAATCAGCGTAACTCCACCAGGCATAATTTAGTAATTGAACTGCATTTGACAATAAGGAACTAAAACTGATGGCCCATTCATAAAATCACTTGTCTGCATAGAGAAACTAATGGCACATATGTTGTCTCTAAAATGAGCTAAAAATTGTAGTTCCTTATTTTTAAAATTATTCTGATTTCATATCATGTCTTATGACTAAGTCCCCGAAAACTAAGCAACATTCTGATTCGAGACTTTGTAAGTATACTCTCTATAATTTGAAGTTACTCAAAGACTTTCAAGGCTGTTTAGTTCTCTGTCAATAAAGTGAAATATGAAAGAAAGTTAGGCAACATGAAACGACTTATACTGGCTAAAGCCATCCAATGGCACAAAGAAGCAAAGATCAACAAAATCGAAAGGATTAAAGAAAAATCAACCGACTACATTTGAAGTTGCCTAATTTTATTAACTCTTCGACTTTTTCGACAGAAAATTAAATAACATAAAACTTGAAATTTCCGAAAAAACTCCTTCAGATTACCTGTAAAGTAGAAACATCATTTTTACTGAATTCCAAGTTGGAATGGTACTCCATTATTAGTTGAAACAATAAAACAGGAGAGAATATCAGGCAATATCTGATGCACTTAGGTTGTTTTGCTCAACTCCTTCATAATTAATGTATTAGGAGTATTGCAGACAAAGAAGTTAAGTAACGTTTTTGCAATTTTGGAAAAAAAAGTTGAAGTTGACTGAAAATGTAAAAGTTAAGGACTTCGAAGAACTTCTGACTCAATTCTTGAGGTGAAAAAAGGGGCTCATGTATTAAACCGTTTTCATGAAATATACTTGCACAGGATTTGGACTTTATAAGATTTTTGTCATAGTTCTTTTTAAAAAGAGACACTTAGCTTCTTTATTGTCGTCCAAGTTACCTATTTTCAAAGTAGGTAGTAAGTAAAATGTTTCCACTCCTCTCCCCTCTCTGAAAAAGTCAAGATTTTTTTCCTATCACCTATCTTCTGGAATATTTTTCAATTTTCCCTGTGTCTTTTTTGCTTTGTTGAAATTCCAGATGATAATAATCTTAAGATGGTTTTATTTTTATTTTTTTTTTCATTCTAATTTTTGCTACTTTTCCAATTCATCATTCAAAAATGTACTAGAAATCTGTAATTTTGTTACAAATAAATATGAAAAATGTTGTTGTAAGGAAACAAGTCCATTTTCTGATGGATGATAATTTTCAAAATAAGAGAGTTTCTTTTTCCTTTCCCATATTCCATTCATAAAGCCACAAATTCTCCGATAAAAATCACTGGTTCAAATTGCAATTGATCAGGGGTGTAAAATCTTCATTTTTTTTTTCCACCAGCTTGCCGGCTTTCCAAAGTTTTCTTAACAGCTTTGCACAAAATTTCCCATCACCTTGAAAAGTGATAGTCTCGTTTCATATTTCTTCTTTGATTTTAGACCCTTAAAAATGTTTCCTCTTTCTATTTTTTGCACCCCTGCAATGGATATGTCTATCTGATGATATGCTCAAAATTAATTTGAAAGCAATGAAAAAACCAAAATTTGGGTCTTTTAAGTTTGTTTTATTGGTTGAAAAATGTATTTTAATGGTACACGTACTTAGTGGATTTTACTTCAAAAAAAAACTTTAAAAATATTCAACAAACTTATCACTGAATTACGAGAACATACAAAATGCGATAAAAACTTCCAACGGCACAGTCGATTTTAATTTAGCCAACACCTGGTCTTAGAAATAAATGATGAAAGCTCATTGGGTGGGTGTCTTACAGTAGGGCCAAGATAAAATGTCAGGATTCAAGAACCGCGATGAGCAGAAAAGGCAACAGGTCCAGCTTTTAGCGGTGTTAAATGGTTCCATGAGTTCTGCTGCAACACTTTTCTGCTAACCTGATTCATAAATCCAACATTATATCTTGTTGAGTTGATTTCTGTTGCAACTTCTGACCAGTAACGGCTCTTATTCAAAGGTTCCAGAAAAACGCCTGATATTGGAAGAATTTCATGTTTTTATGACACAGAAGAAACTGCAAAAAAATCAGAGCTCCAATACCTTATGGGGGATATGCTAGGGTTTGGAAAGCAAGTTAATAATAATATGATATACCGATAAGTGAATATGAACATCAACGCTAAATTAATAAATCCATTGCTACTATAATATTCAGCTTACAAAGCTGAGGCTCCAGAAATGATTTCAATCAATTCACGAGTAATGACGGCTTGACGGGTTCGGTTGAAGGTCAAAGTCAACTTGTCAATCATTTCACCTGGAAGAAAAAAAACTCATCATTAATAAAATAATTAAAGTTGGTGTTCAGTTTTATCTACAAATATCGAAACACCTGAAACAGAATGAGATCCAAGCTGGTAACTGCACATTTGGTTCAACAGAAAAATTTCATTCCATCTTTAAGGTAAACTTTTGTAGAAAAGTTTAGTTCAGTTGGTTAAAGCTATACAACTTTACTAGAAAATTACTACTGAACCAAACTACAGCACGGATTGGTACCGCTTAAGCCGTGTTTTCCACCAATAGGTTAGCTGATGTAGTTTCCTGCACCTGTCCCAGATCCTTTCTCATTTAAAGCTCTACATTGATTCAAAGAAGCAAAGTTCCCTACATTGCTTCAGTGAAGCAAAGTTGTAGCCTTACATAGCGAATATAATGCGCTATATAGACGCAGAAGTTCTGTAACATCTACCCTGTGCTGCTTCCAGCACTTTCGGCTACACGGCTTTTTTGATTCACCTCACCAAAAAGATAAGATTTTGTGGTACAATGCTTAATTGCACGGGAGAATATACGATTTGCTCCAATTTTTAACAGGGTTGCCACAGATTTTATAAAAGAAAATTCCTTCAAATTTCTCCGAATTCTCAGTCACATTTCAGTAATATTCCCTGCCGATTGAAGATGAGCCAGTTTGTTAAAAAGACACAATTTGAAACAGTTTTTAGGCAACATTTGTTGTTTGAAACGTCAGGCCCATTCTAGAGAGAAAGTAAGGGTGACTTAACAATATTTCCCTGACACTTTCGTCATTTTCTCCCATATTTTCAGATTTTTCCTAACTTTTTGAAATTCCCTGACATTTACCGGTTTTCTCAATACTCCTTGACTGACAGACTAGTTTGTACTCTAGAACTAATGGTATTTTAGCTACAGAGCATAAGTGTTGATTTTAACCAATCACTCATCACACAAATTCCATCAGATTGTGGAGGGGCAAGTGAAGTTCTAAAAGAGATCCTTACCAGCATTTTTACTGGCATTATCCATGGCAGTCATACGTGAAGACTGTTCACTGCAAGCGCCTTCTTTCATTGCGTAGTACAACAATGAAGCCAAAGAGAATTCAATGTAGCTCTGAATGACTTCAGAGTCGAGCGAGTCGTAAACACCCAACTTGGGAGCAGCTTCGATGGCAGCTACGCTGAACAACGGGATTTCAGATGTTGTGTAGGAAACAACAGACCTAAAAACAAACAGAATGAAATTAAATAGAATGAAAACATAATAAAAACTACAATTTTTCAAAGTAAGAAGCATGATAAGACTTGAATTTCTGTTAACAGGAATTAGAACTGATTTATCTAATTGCTTTTGTTGGGATTGAAAAGTATGTTCACTTACTACTTTCAGGGCTAAATGCAATAAATGGGTATCTCAATTGCAACATCTAAAAACCTCCCAAAATTTAGTGAGTTTTATTTAGAATGAGGGAAGAAAATTCGCAGAAAATTTTGACAGAAACTTTCGGTTGGTTTCCCGGGGGGGGGGGGGGGGGGGATGGAGCCTTACAACATTGCAAACTGAAATGTGCTTTTATTTTTCAATTAAGCCATCAGCTCTTGTTTCATACAGTCATAATATCTGAAAAAATGACAGGAAATAAGGCTAAATAATGATTTCTTAATGTCAAAAAAATTCATACAAAATTTTAAGAGGTTTCATTGAAAAATCAATTGGCGTAATTTCATCATATTGATGATGAAATTGCAGAAACATTATATCTCAGTTTGCAGCATTGCAGACTGTCTGTCATACTTCATTTTCTGAATAGCACGCTACGCAACATCATTTTTTAAAAACTTGGTTGAATTATTTTATTGTAAGTGAAGAATATTCTGTGCAAAGACCAAGCCAAATGTTCGTTTGGTCTCAGTCTGAAAAAAGAAATAGGAGCAGAGATTTTGAAATACTGCAAACTTGATACATTTTTAGCCATTTCACCGTAGATATGGAACTATAAACACTAATTTCAAGTTTACAATTTGGTTTTGGCTTTAAAAAACTTTTTTATCGTGTTTGCAGTAAAATTTAGATAAGAAATTGTATCTTGTAGTTCTCTGATCATGTTCCAAATAAAATTTTGGTGAGGAATTGTATTCTGAGGTGATCCAATTCATACCATTTTCTGAACTAATACATCTGCACAATCTTTGATCAAAGACTCTTATCATTTGAAGTCTAGATGAGGCCAAAGCCCTTCTCAATTTCCCTTCTTTAATACTGAAAGTTAACCGACAGTAAAGTCGATTTAGAACATCTGATAATGTCAATGGAAAAAAATAAAAAAATAGTACGTACTTGAAACGGTTGTAAACAATTTTTCCAGTGGTGAAGTTGTGCTTGCTGGTTTCCTGAGCAATTTTGGAAGCATCCTTGAAAGTGGGTGGTTTGCGACCAACCTCATTAGCCACCAAAATGATGTTCTTTCCGTAAAGTCTAAGAAAGCAAAGTAGAAAACATTATGTTATGCTGTTTGGAACTTAGGTAAATCAAATTTTCCTTCGAGAAATTTTTCAAAGAGAAGAAAAACTTGTGATAAGAGAGAGGGAGATAAGTATCTACATCTCTCTCTCAATTTTATGTAGGATTTTTCCCTAGTATTCAGAAGTAACAGCATGGTGTTATACAATATGATTTTATAAAGTCAGCCATATACAAGTATCTTTAAAATTGTTGGTCTTTCTAATTTAATGCACAAAAGAGTTACAGGGTTGCCTCATGGATAAGAAAATTATATTCTCTGACATTTCCCTGATTCCCCTGAAAATTAGAGATGCCAGATGCTTAAAAGACATAATTTGAAATGGTTTTCATGCAAAATCTGTTGTTTGAAACGTCAAACCTCCCTGACTTTTTGAACTTCCTGGTCACTTCCTGGTATTCCCTGACTATGACAACCCTAAGTCACATTTAAATTGCAGTGTATCAAAGTCTCATCTGCTGTTGTAGATCCAACTGTTGTAGGAAACCACCCCACATTTTGAAATGCAATTTTGTGGAAATGACACTTAAATGTGCAAGAGCACTTGCAATAATTTTCGAGTGGGGACGTCCGTTGACTTTTTCCAAAAAATTATCAAGAGAGATTTGGAAACACTGAAATGTAGGTAAAAGTGACTGTTTTGCTTAACTCTACCTGTTTTTATCATAATAAAGTCAAATTACATGAATGAAATAAATGATGTGGATATGAAATTATAGGTCAATGCTTAATGCGTAACATTGATACAAATGGGAAGAAGATACAAATAAGAGAAATAAAAACCTCTGTAAGATGGCCCTTGACTTGTCTCCAACACAGATGACCTTGGTGTTCTCAGAATCTTCACTCAGTTCGTTCCTGATGGCACGAGAGACAGTAGTATGGACAGCTCCGCACAGTCCTCTGTCAGAGGTCACAGCAATAAGCAGCTTCTCTGGCTTTGCGTCTTCGAGAGGGGCAACCTCAGACTTTTCGTAGAATTGCTAGAAAATAAAAGAGACATTATAAGCTAAACAAGGAAACAATAATTCAAGCCTGAGGCCAATAATTTTTCACACAGAACTTCACATGAACCCCTGATTACTTAAATTGACTTACATCAACCAAATCCTTGGACGTTTTAAATGAGAAAGTGTAACCTCAGATTTTGCAGTTTACTCAGATAACCCAGCGAAGAGAGGCCATTCGACTGACGCCCCTCTATCCATACGGCTACCTCCAAGGAAAGCCTGCCTTTTCGCAAGGTACACTCTACTAAAGGTATGGACATATGGAATTTCAGAAAGTCGTCGAAATGCATAGATTTGACATTGTTCAATGGTACGACTATGATGCCATATTGGAAACTTGTTTACTATCTGTTCTGAGAGTAATTTTCATCAATTTTGTGTTATTTTTTCGTGTTCTTGGTTGTTTTGAGTTGTATCAATTTTTTAAATTCACCTGATAGCTTATTGAAGCTACCCGATCTGCCAGAACCTCTTCAACAGGTCATTTTGAACTGTGCGGCAAAGACTGTACGACTTGCGACATCACTCGATGACCTATATTCTCAGCGCTGCCACTTCAGCACCCCGTTTGTCAATACCTATAGAAGAGTGTACCTTGATCTTTTTGGGTAGCTTGAACTTGGAAGATGCTGCTTGGCTTTCGAGCCTTGGCCCAATGCAAGCAGGACAATCCTCTAATGAGACTTGAGCACCGTATCACCCAACTGTTTTTACCAACGACGATCCCAAGAAAACACAAAATAAGATGCAAAATATAGGATATCCTCACTGCCCTTGATAGACATTAATTTTGCTACTTTCAGATCTGCTGGATTGAACGATTTTTTCTGGACTTAGCTATCTTTGATTTTGAATTTCTTTTAAAACCAGGAATTCAAATTTAGTTCGACATTTTTATAAAATATCAAGAGAAAAATATAAAGATTACATGTTTGACTTTGGCATCCTTCCATCTATTTTTGGCTGAGAAATTTCAAAATAAAAAAAATGAAACAGCATACAAATGGCATAATTATCAAAAAAATTTCCATTACTTTGTGCAGCACTATATAGGCTGCAGGCTATGGTACTGACGCAATTTTTAAAAAATTGCATACCTCGACATCAGATCAAAATTTTCATTCCCAGAGAAAAACACTCTTTCTCCAGGATTTAAATTCCTTACAAGATCATATGCCTGAAAAACTGACCGTCTTTTTTGACACAGAGCAGAATAAATTTGGTCTCAGTGTCCGGTGGTGAATTTCCCTATTTCTCCGAGATCACTGTGATCACAAACAAATGAAAAATCGGCAATAGTTGCTGTTGGCTCTATGCTGACTGTACACATGTACTTTGAAAAGTAAGTACTGTAGGATCATTGGGGTGACAACAGCTTTAGCGCCACCCGATCTCCTTAATTATTTCTTTTCCCTGATGATTGAAGACTCTCAAAGATGGGAGGATGAAAAGCAGAGACAGAAAACAAAAAACTACCTGAGAGCCCTCTCCGTAAGGTCTTGCTTGACGCAACTCACGTTCAGCTCGGGCGTACTTTGCGGCTGACACCATCTTCATTGATTGGGTGATCTTTTGGATGTTCTTCACCGACTTCAAACGGATGGAGATGGCCTTCAACGTGGCCATTCCGCATGATTGCTGTTGCTGAGGCCTGAAATTTCAATACCGCTTATTATTAAAAAATCACGTTGTTCATGGAATTTTTGAAGAGATGAAAGATGCGGAAAGAAACGACTTAGATACAATAGAGAGAGAAATCTGCCTTAAAACATTGTTAGCATCTTGCAGATTGATTCCTTATCATTTGATAGGCTAAACATTGAAAGATTAATTGAATTAGGTTACGTAGAAAATGATAGGGATAAAGCACGAAAACGAAAATGATAGGTATAGCTACAATTTCAACGCAGGGGTATAACTGTCACGTAGATAAGAAATTTTGCCTAGATTTTCAGTGCATAATGTTTCAAGAGAACTCAACCTATCTTCATCTCTGAAATTTGCAGATATTTCTGATAGAGCGCATACAAATCATGCTAAAGTTCAGTGCGGTTATGCTCTTTAAGTGGTCTGCCTACAAAAGGATGAAAATACCGATGACCATAAAATACAAACCCAACTAAAATATATGGCCAAAATCTCAAACACTGACATCAAGTGATTCTTCTCACGCCTCGAAGTGAAGACATTTAAGGGTACATTGAACATCATGTGCAGTAGAAGGAAGCACATTTAGTACAAGCGAGAGTCAGCCTTGGAGCACATGAGAATATTAGTGAGTAACCCATGGCTACTTCACATTAAACTAACTGAATCTTGAATAGTAAAACAGAAATTTGCTTGAAGCATCAAGAAAACTTAGGTCTGGGGGAATGAAAGGTTTCTCGGAACTCAAGTCAGCCAACACTGGTGATAACAGCATCGATACAAATTTCAACTTCGCATCAGTAATTGTGACCTATGAGGATGCACAAATTACTGCAAGTTTGATGTTAGTACCATGAGCTTGAAAGGCATAGAAATAAGCTCAATACAACAAAAACTGGAAGGAACTCTGCGCATGATTGATCGCAGAATGCAAATGGAGTCCAGGCCTTGGTCGAGTGACCTACAAGCACCAAATTACAATTCATAGATTTGAAAGGGATACAAACTCTTCGGATTATGCATGATCAAGTGATTGAAAATCGACTTTATCGGGAGAGAGTTGAAAATTGTGTGGTTTGAGCCGAGATGACTGATAATTTCGATAGGCGGCTTCATAACCTTTGATTGACTTTAGGCACGAGACGGAACGAGCGTTACTGATAAGAAATCGGCGACAGTGATGAAGAAACCAAGGAAATAATTGATGGCACTTACTGTACAAGCCTCAGAAGTTTCGTTTGCCCGAACATCTTGATCGGTCTTGAATAAAACTACAACGACATGGAAAATAAAAAGGTCTCTCGTCTTGCGACCTGAGACCTAGAGACCAGCTGACGGGGGACGGGGGGAGGAAGAACGATCGGTCACTAATTTCCGCCACGCTGCATTGTTGCATGATTGATAAGACGCGAGTTTACTGATAGTGAAAAAAAAGAAATAATGAAATAATAAAAAAATGTATAACATTATCATTGACTTAATACTTACCGAAGTTTAAAAAACAAATTAGAAGAATCGTAATAACTGATGGGGCGATTATTGGCCAATTCTTAATATAATTAATTTAATTTAATTGGAGATTTGACAATGTTTTGCCGGTGTTCCCTATGAATCGTCAAGGAATTTTTGAAATTCCAAAGTTGTGTTAAATTAAATTTGGGAATGTGGCACTGAATTTATTGTAAACAAAACAACGTAAGCCGACTGGGACTGGGAAATGGAAAATTGCCGTAAACAAACGTAGGAATTACGGAAAATAGTGTTTTAAGTAGTGTTTGACGTGTTTTTTCTCTATCGTCAGTTTGTAGTCGTGTGTGGACTTTGTAACTGTAGTGGTTATACTCTACTTCATATTTCTTTAAGTTATAACAGCTCTCTTCCTCCAGCTTCTTTTCGGTCGCTTTTCTAAAATGTAATATCAACTACGATTCATCCAAATTCTTTGGATGTACACAAGGTACTCGGAAAAGCTCAGAAGCAGTTTTTATGAAGGAAAAGCATGTTCCGAAGTCTGGAAAATGCTAGGGCAGGAGTTGTCAGTCCCAATGCTTTTAGAACAATCGAAATCACCAAACGCTCCTATAATTTACAGCTTAGTCAACTGCGCGATATCGAGAGCGTTCACACTGCTCTCATTAACTCAATTCAAGTTGACAATAAAATTGGGCGATAGTAAGTATCCTTGGTTCAATATTATTTTGAATGTCAAAGCTGCCTGCCCTGTATTTTAAACTCACATTAGACAAGTTGGTAGACGGTTACCTTCCATTTGCAAATGACTGTACTGCTGCTGTCCAATAATTACTGAAGATTGAACACAGCTGCTACTCTTGCCTTGCAGAGATATGATACACAGTCTACTGCACATGACAGTTGGGAGTGTGTAATGTCAGCCCATCTGATAGAAATTTTAGAGGTGTCGTCTGATAAGTTGGCCGTTTAGTACATTTGATTTGCATGCGTTTTTGCGTCACTACCATCCACATGAAAACATCCGACTCTTGCAGAAGCAGGAACACAAGCTTAGATAGGTTTTTCAATACTTTCAAACCTCGTAACACTTTAACTTTCAGCCACACTGAAATCACAACCAAATAAAAGTCATGTATCATCACTGATAAGTAGTTTTTTTAGGAAACGAGCATGAGACGGATGTTTTTAAGGTAGATAGTAACGAAAGCTGCTTTATGCAGAGGCATAAATTCGGTGCGCTTGGAAGCGAAATGAACAAATGCCAATTTATCTGAAGACACCTCCACAGGCGTTCACAAACAGTAAAAGAAAAAAATCCTACAGGATCTTACCAGTTAAATATCAGTCTTCTCTCTAAACACTTCCACCAAGTATATTTTGAACAAAAAACCAGAAATATCTCTCCAGTCAGAACTAAAAGTATTGTGTTCAGTACAGGTAGTTGCTCCAGATTTTCTGAATTCTCAGCACAGTGTCGACCATTGAACAGAACTTTACAGAAGCAAAAACAATAAAAAAACAACAAAAATAATTTATTTGGTCCTTTTTTTTTCTATTTCAGCATGCTGTCAGGATGTGCCGACGGCACAATTTACATCCACGATCTTTTCAATCTCTCTGGTTCTCCGTCACATACATGCAAAGCTGTTTGGAGAGAAAAGAAAGCTACCGTGAACTCCCACAATGCAAGTGTTGAAACAGTGCAGTGGTATCCATTTGATATGGGGCTCTTTGTAACCAGTGGCTTGGACAAGATTTTAAAGATCTGGGATGCTAATACTTTGCAGCCATGCTCAAAGATCTCTGCCAAAGGACAAATTTATCAACATCACATGTCTCCTGTACCTGCAAAAAATTGTGTCATCGCCGGTAAGATCAACCTTAAGTGAAGTCATAGCTCCATTACAGAGGTGCAAAATATGCTCAAGCATGCAAGCTCTGTATCAAGTTGTCTCCTTCAGTCAAAAGAATCACAAATGCCATTTGTGCTAAGGCACTATTTTGCCAAACTTTTCTATTTTACTTTGGAAAAACTTATGGTCATGATCACTCGATAATTTTACTGGAAACTTTTTTTTGTCATCAAGATTCATCCCTGAAATTTCTGTGGTTTAAAATAAATATTAAAACAGTATCAAGATGTCTGGCAACATAGCGTCTGAATATCAATGGTGTTTATGATACTCAGACCCCATGAAGAAAAAAAAGGAAGGGTTTGCATCTTGGGCATTTTTTGATGATGTAGGTCAGTACAGACGACTGTTATCACACCTTTCTTGGAAATGGTGTGATTTATGGAAAAAAAATCATTCTTTAAAAAATGTTTGAAATTATATCATGAGTTGATTTAAGCAAAAAAATTGGACATTATGGTCCGTTTTTCACTCTTCGAATTCCGAATTTTGCCAGCCAGGTTGTATGGACCTACTTCACAGGGTAAACAATCCTCAGGATGCAAACACCTCCTTTTTTTTCTCTATGCTTAGGCTCTAATGTGAGAAAATGTGGGAAAAGACCATTTTTAGATACCCAGAAACTTTTTTTTCAAAAAAAAAAAAAAAAAAAAAAAAAAAAAAAAATGAGCATTTATAAACAGAAGTGTGCCTGGATTTTCATCATTTTTATCATCAGCATTTCGGCTCAGTGTATACTTTCATCCATTTTTGGAGTGAGGAAATACTCCAAAAAAGAGGACATTTTGAGGCTAAAAGTGCACCTGATTTTTGCTTTGAAGAACTTCCCGCACCTCTGATCCAAGCTTAGAGGTCAAATGTCCCTGCCTGGATTCCATATTTTTATCATTTCGTTATTTGGTATTTGTTATAAGTAAACTTTATTTTCATATTTGTCACTTAAAGTAAAAAAAAAAGAAGAAGAAGACACATTTGCCATTTCTCCGCAAGATGCAAAAGTCTGTTAAAATTTTGTCTTGGTTATTAGTTCTAGTCAATGTGGCATCAATTTTGTCAATAATTCAGGGGGACCTTGTTATGTTTCAAAACAAAGACAGGATGCTCATTTTCCTAGGTTTAAAAAATCACACGTACAAACAATTCTAAGGTTTAAAAAATTACACGTACGAATAAAATGGAATGAAAATGAAGCATTTTTGGAGGAATAGAGAAAGAAAAAGGCTGCCTGATACGTATCACATCATATGTCATATTTCCTGTTTCCAATCTGATATTTTTTTTGTATTCCTGTCCTGCCTTTCTTACCTTACTTTTTTCTATTTTTTCTGGTGCAAATAAACTAGTTCTAACTTTGCCAACAAATCAGAGTCGAGTTTTTGATGTGGCTGATGTGATTTTTCAAATTCAGTTTGATCGCTTTCTGTTTCTTTTCAGTTTGATACTATGAAAAAGCAACTCAAAACTGTTGCACTTAAAAAAAAAAAGGAATCAGTAAAAATTGTTGCTAAGAATAATTCTCTATCTCAATATTTTTAAGTGCATTTGTTAGGTAAAAAAGAATCAAAAAACACTTGCAACACAAATAAAAATATTAGATGCCTGAAATTTACTGCTTTTTAGAATAAAGCCCTCAATTGATACGGGATCTTCTTAAGAACGAGCACAACAGAACATGTCTTGTATATCTAACTTTCCTCAAAAAACCTAGTCTCATCTCTCATATTATTTTTTTCTATGTCTAAGTGTCTTCAAGAACTGCTAATCTGAATTTCTTGCAGCTGAAGCTAGTCAGCAGATTTAAATAAAGCTGTCTTCTCATGGTTGTGGTACAAACAGATGACTCCAAATACTATAAAAAAGTATTTGCGAGGGACAGGTTAAAAGTTATTTAATGAGATTTGGCACTCAGGGTGATGTGTCAAATCAATTGATTTTAGGAAAGTCCTGAAATTATTTTCTCTTCAGAAGACTATCAGACTTCGTGTCACTCTTTATTCTCAAAACAGACAGCTATTCCACGTCACTCTTTAAAAACTTTATTGCTTTCTTCCCAATGCAAAGATATTCTTTGTAAATAGATCAGTGGCATCCAATTTTTTTAATTCATTTTCTGAAAGCACAGCGTGATCTGAGCTTCCCTAGAATTTTTCAGATTTTTTTTTACCCTTGAATGGCAAAGAAATCCCGTTTTGAAAATGCTACAAATGAGACCTGTGTGTCGCAATTTTTTTGGCGGGTTCTGATGACGTAGGTTAACAGGAGGAACAGTGTTTGCTGATTGGCTGAATGCAACTTCAGGCATTTCCTTACAACATATTTTTATCAGCTTTTTCTCCCCTTAGAAATGATTTTTTGAACTTTTTAATTATCTCTTTGGTTTTTTCCCGAAATTTTACAATGAGGTATGCATGAAATATTAATTCTGCAAAAATTCCTTGCCCTATTTCAAGTCATGATGTTGGTTTGGCCTCCTTTTAAAAAATAAAATAGAAGCGGAGATTGCAGACACGCAGCAATACCGAGATACGCACTTTTGCAGTTTTATTGTCAATATTATTGTCGAAGACTAAGAAAAGTTATATTTTTTATCACAAGCAAAGCTATGATGGATGCCTTCAATGTTTTTTTATTCTTTTCTTTCAGTGGCAAGCAGTGATCACAATGTTGTTTTGTTCGATCTGAGAATCGGAAATTGTACACAAGAACTTCGAGGCCACTCGAATGCCGTCATCTCTTGTGAGTGGTCTTCAAATGATGAGCACATTCTTGCAACCGGAGGCTCTGACTCAAGGCTATTGGTGTGGGATATTAGGTCTGCTAAGCATTGTTTACTAAGCCTAGATATAGAAAGTAAAAACGCAGTCTTAGATCATAAAAAAGCCAACCGAGCGCATGATGGCTACATATCGAGTGTTAAATTCATCGACAACAGCACCTCTTTACTCTCGTTCGGCACAGACAATAAACTAAGGCTATGGAATTTAGTTAGTGGAAAAAATCAAGAGGTTGATTACGGGAACATAAAAAACAATCGAAAGAAAAAAATACAAATCGATGTCTCTCAAAATTCTAATCCTAGTGTAGTTTATGTACCATCTGATGGAAATATTTTGATTTTTGAAATTAAAACTGGTGATTTAGTCAATACTCTCACCGGTCATTATAACAAAACGAATTGTTGTTATTTTGATCCTATTTATTTATACTTATATAGTGGTGGCTATGATCAAACAATTTTGGTTTGGAGCGATGACAACGTTCAGTACGTTGGATATACAGATAGTAAAAAACCAGTCAGTTCCTCTAAAAGTAAGTTTGGAAGGCCTCAAAAACCGGTTGTTGATCCTGAATCGTTGCTAGAAGATGCATGGAGTGATGAAGATTGAATTTGTTACTTAATCTTTTTCACAAGTTTTTTGGAATTTCCATTTCCCCTAATTTCTGGGATTACAGAAAAAGCACAATGAGAACTTCGCTCGTAAGGAGAACAAACTGCCTCGATGCAAAGTTTGTAAATGCCTTTCATTAGTTTATAGCCAACGGAGGAGCTCTTGCATGCAAAAGGAACTTGCACTTTAAGTACTTTTTTTGGTGCAAAACTGGTTACAAGACGATTTGTCCACTCATTTTGTCCAGTATTAAAATTGGCTGTTGATAATCAAGCCAGTGGTCTAAATTTTTTGTCCAGACAAGTATCCCAATATTTCGGCCCAAAAATTAGATCTGGTCCAACGGATTAACCACAGATGGTAGATGAAATTTCATTGCACGAAAATGGAGGATGAAAGTCAACAAATTCCAATTGTTTCACTGTTGAAATTTCGAGGATGGAAGTTCATGAATTTCAAGTGTTTCATGAAATTTTACTCTTCTGGTTGTAGTGTGTTGCACAAGAATTGATTTGTAACTCTCTGATTCAATGCATATAAAGGATAAAATAATACCATCATATGCAATGTTATATTGCATTAGTTATTGTCTTAGACACTTTCATGGAAAAGTTTTAATACAACAAGATTGCATTCAAACCAACAAATTTATACGACAAAAAAATGTGATAGTCACATTAAGTATGGATGAAAAAAAGCATATGAATCGTCTTGTAACTGTAAAATTTTGCAAGAAACTTGATGGCGCCTCTTGTTTTGTCTGAAACAAACTCCTAAGCTCAAAAAGAGCTCTTATAGTTGAGGCTGTGATGGAGGAAATCTCCCGTGTTATGCTGAGAATCTACCACTGCATCCAATCAAACTCTCCATTCACAGATAGGGAGTAAATAAATTAGCAGGGTGTCCCAGAATGAATTAAATTTCAGCCTTTACTTGGTAGGTCAATGCTCTTCTCCTCATCTTAAACTTTTGAAGAGACGTAAAAAACTAATTCAAGTTTACTTGTGATGTCATTTTAGTCGTCCTGTAAAATCTTCTCTTGCTTTTGACTCTATTTCACTTTATACTGTCCCTTTTTGTGATATTTTGTACCTAAGTATTATTGAAGTTGTAAATCTCAAATGGCCGTTTGTTAAAAAGATGTTGATGTTGAGAAAATTGGAGTTTGAGATAGGTCTCTTCCTTTTTTCCCTTTGTCTGTCAAGTTTTATTCTGTTCATTTATTGTTGAAGCATTTTAATACATTGTCCTTTTACTTTTTATATAGTTTTTTGTTTTGTTTTTATATAAGGCTCATGTATGTCGTTCTAAGTGGGAACTGCAGCTTTTTTATGATCTTTTAGACAAGATATGAACGAAAGCCCCAAGCAACATGTTTTCTCTCCTAAATTTCACTAAAAACGTAAATCACACAATGGAAAGTCTGTGAAATCAATGCTTAAATGAGACACAAATGTTAACAATTGACGTTGGTATGAGGGCAAAAATACAAATGTCAATAGCATAATCTGTTTTCCTTTTGATCTGTTTCAAGAATACTGGTTAATCGTGTTTAGAAGTTGATGTCCTACCTCCCAATTGAGTGAATCGTTTTCTACGTATGTTTTTGAAGAAGAATCACATGATTTGCTTTCTAGCATTAACCTCGTCTAGTAGCCCCTTCTGAATTTTGCCTAGATATGTTGCTATGGAGAACTCAAGATAAACTCCATTCCCTCACTGTTCAAGGTTTTTTATCAAAAGATTTCTTAGCCCATCTATCCCTTTCTATTTTACATATAAAGGTCTCGGCTGCAAAAATACTTCTTGCAAGAAATTGTAACCTAACCTTCTGAATGCACTATATTTTGGCCCTGTACAGAATGTCTTATCAGTGCAAAAAATTCTGAGTTTAGACAATTCACATGTATTCCTGTTACATCAGTTTAGAGACGCTACTTGAAATTTGTAGATTTCACGAGTCGTCTACAAAGTTCTCAAAAAAGAAAGGTACTCTTAAAAAGAAACTTTCGCCCCTCATAAGTCTTCTGAAAAAGTAATAAAAAAATTAAATTGAAGTAATTTTTACCCCTGTATTCAACCTACCCAACATGTCTAAGTACACCATTAACTTGGTAAAACCACAAAATAAACCATCATTTGCTAAATATTACAAATAATTCACTCTTTGAGGGTCCTAGACTACCTAAATGTATGTTGTTTTGACTTCTTTAAAACAATAACAAAATAAATTGCCCTCTTTGCACCCCTATTCTTCCAAGGAGGGTTCTTTCAAAAAGTATGTTTATTTATCAGCAAAGGAAAAAGTTAGGGAGTCTTTATGTTCTCTCTTGACTTTTGATTTAGGGGTCTGAAATGAAGTTCAGAAGATAGGCCCATTTTAAGTAAGTCTTCTTTTTTTTTACCACTTTTCAATTAGCCCTCAGGACTGATCCTGGGCTTAATCCCCCGGTCCCCTTGGTGCCGCGCCCCAGGTGACCATCACCTGAAACCATCAAACTCAGATCACCCGACCGAGAATCAAAACTGGGTGCCCCTGATTATAGAGCTAGCACTACAAGCACTGCCACACAGGAGGCCATTGCATTTTCAATTATATCTCTCTGATACACAACGTCTAAGAGGAATGGAGAACTAACAGATACATCAATTTTGCAATCATGTAGGTAGAAATCGGTGCTAATCTGATTTTATACTGGACCTCCAATACGCGGAGCTTTAAAAAAGTTACTTGGAATTTTTGAGGGTAAGAAAGAGAGTCAGTCTTTGAAACAGCCTAAAAGAAGTTTATTTAATGATTATAACCTAAAAGAAGATACAACAAACATTGAAAATTAAAAGCTACCTTCTACATTCGCAGAATTTTCAAAACGCTGGACTTGTTGGTGCTTATCCATAATGCCTGTTTTGCCTATGGGTTTCGTGCGGAAATTTGGGTCCGTTGCTGGGATCATAGGCAGATTCATCTGGGGCATCCCAAATATATGGTTTTCCAGGGGTAACTCCAAGGACATTTGCACTTACTTTGGATCTGAAAATCAAATAAGTAAATTGAAATTTTGACCGCCTTGGTACAAACAATAGCCTCCCTTAACAAATGGGACGAGTATATCTACACATGGAGATATCACTAAGGTGCAAAACTTTTTAGCTCAGTTTGCAAAGTTTCAAACTTCCTGTCATAGTTCATTTCTTATTTGGAAAACTAGCCATTATAATTTCTTAAAAAGTTCTAAAATTTTTCTTCTCTGTCAAGAAGATATTTTATTTAATTTCAAGCTATAAAGTTGGTTTGTCTTGGTCTGTGGTTTATCTTTCCAAAAATAACATAAGAGGAGAAATTTTGAAACACTGCAACAGAGATACAAGGTTTCACTCTTTGTTCGCCAAATATATAATCTGCGCCAGAGAGCTAAATAAGGGGTTCTAAACTGTAATTTGTACACCTTCAGGAATGTTGAGGGCAAAATCAATAACGTAAGGGAATGAGCTAAATAGTGGACCTTATCTCCTTTTTTATTCCTTCCACCTCAAGGCACGTTTCGCTGGTGTAAGTTGGCAATCACATCACTCGTTTGCGGTGTCTGAAAATCTTCGCCTCCATGTTATTTTTTTAAAGGGGAAAAAGTTGACATCATTTCTTGAAGTTTTTGCAGAATTTTCTTCGCACACAGAAAAAAAATCACAGCAGTTCAAGAATTGCCGTCAAGGAGTTTTCCGTTTAAAAAATAAAGTATGACAGGAAGTCTGTGACGTCGCAAATCGAGATATGTGATTGCCGACTTACATCGTCGATTTGCCCTAGTGGGTTACAAATACTGACATCAAATGAGAGGAACATCATTGTCAGACCGAGAAAATCCGGATGAGAATTAAAAAAATATCACCTACGCCTCATTTTTCTGAATAATTTTGACAGACTTATTTATTGTCTTTGCTGCACTTGATGAAATCAAACGGATAGGTGCAACTAAAGATTTTTAAATTCTCAAATAAGTAATAGTAAATAGATCTTAAGCGGGGATATTGAAGAGAAAAAAAAATACTTTTTTCAGTACTTCAAGGTGTCGGAGACCTGGTAAGTGATACCATGCTTTGTTTTTTTGATCAAAGGGAGTCTACTGTGACTCAGTGTCTTGAAATGAGAAAAACAATTCTTCCACCATAAATGACAGGAGAAAATTTTCTTTTCGTTGATAATCTGAAGAAGAGTGGAGAAAATCCCCTGATATTTATCAGACAAGTACATTCTTAAACCCCCCAAGAAGCAAGAGATTGCCAGGGAATAATAAATTCCAGAATTCTGAAAAATGTAACTTACTTCAACTCGGCAGATTCAATTTGTGGCGCCACCTGTGGACCAGCAATTAGCAGCGGGGGTTCCACGATGTGTCTAGCATCCCGTGTGTAATAGTAGTTATCGCTGAGTTTTGCGTGTGGACCTGGTGGAAGTTGAGGAGGAGCAGGTGATCTAGTAGCCAAAAACGCTGAGAATCTATTATCCCTATCATGTTTTCTCTGTAAAAGGGAATAATATTCGTTCAGATTACGCACTCATTAATGTCTCTGATTTATGAGCATCCATCTTTCTTGGCTATGATGTCCATGAAAGTTATCTTTAAACAACAGTATCAATATTTCAATTTGGAGTTAGTGTGCCATCAAACCTTGAACAAAATTGCAATCCTTAAAAACATATAAAAAACCCTGCCACGTAACTGGAAACGTAGACAGGTGATTTCACGATAACAGGAATAGCTAAGATGTGCAACACCTTAAAAATAAAAATGCACCAATAATAAAACGGATTTCACTACTTCATTTAAAAGGTATTAAACTTCCTATTTCCAGCTTCGGCACGAACTTTTTTAATTCAGTACAAAGTTACAGTGATTGATAAATAAGCCGTTGAATCAGGTATCAGGTATCAGGTTTCAGCGCTTCCCGCGGGTCTGCTGGAGGTCCACGCAAACATGGCAGCCCTGCTAAATTGTGTCAGTTACATATCCGACACAGCATAACTGACACTTGAAGATGTGAAATGAAAGATGATACAAAAGATAAAACTTGGCAATTTTTGAGTAATGAGGTGGAATTAATACTGCCTTAAAAGTTTTCTAAATTTTGGAGACTTCCTTTTAGTTTAAAAATATTGAATTGAGGATTTTGTGTAGAGAGGAATTAGAGCTACACACCTAAAAATCACTGGTTTTCTTAAAGATTAAAGTTCTCATTGTAAAAAAAACTGACTTCTCGGTAATGGTTTCACCAAAAAGACTTCAGGGAACAATTACGTGACAGTTTTGGAACGCCTGGTTCCATCTGGCAAGATAAACACTGCACTTAATACAACGGCTAAAATATGTAACCAAATGTGGTCACACTTCTTTCCAATGACTTTGCTTGCATAATAATAAACGTTCCTGTTCAAACTGGCAATTTTCTTGAACATTTGAGTCTCCTTTCAGCAGATATTGCCAAAGAGTCCGTGATTAGTACTGATTTATTACCGCAAATTGCTCTTATGCTTCAAAATTGGGGTTGGCGACGCGTAACCGACCGGAAATTTGCAGCCTTTAAAGTCTCATATTATTAAATATGATAATTATTTATCATACCTTTTAGCATGTATAAGTTCAAGGACATCATTCCTAATGATTAATCAACTTGGTTTTCAATCGTTTTGCCCTATGTCGTTTATAACCCACGGCAACACGATTATTCCACGTATCGTGAAATCGCCCACACAAAGGTTAATCAGCCTATGTAGCGGTGTGCTTAAGGAGAGGAATGCATGGAATGACTTCTTGAACAATCCAAGTACCAAAGTACACACCCGTCCAATTTTCCCATTGAAAGTTACAGTCATATAAAGTGGAGCACTGAAGATTAACTAGTCTAGAGCCTTCAATTCTCTCAACTCTGCTGTATGAGACAAAAAGAGCCAGTAAAATAAGACTGCTGATTTTGTTGTGGAGAATAGTTGGATTTTAGATCTTTGGGTCAATGCAGAAAAAAGGAGGTGACTGGCAAGCATGCCTTAGGATAAACATCTCACATTTCAGATAATGGAAAAGCCCTTCGTGTACGGACAGGGAGATGTTTAGTGAAAAATTATGAGCCATGAACTTTGGTGCAAAAAAGAAAAGTTGATAGAGGTCGACTTACCCCTAGGAGGAGATCACGGAGAATTCTCAGGCCAAATGTTACATCTCGAAATTCTTGGGGTCTAGGTTTGGTCATTTTTCAAAATGTTGCGACTAATGATACACTGTGAATAATTAAACGGCTCTGAAAAATTGTAATTTGCAGAAGTTTTCTCATCAGTTGTTTCGATTGAGAATCTGAGGTTATGTTGTTGTTGTTGTTATGTTGTTATTGTTGTTTTTGTTTTCAACGCTGACAGAACACCGAAACTCAAAGGCTGAATGGTGGCATTCGGTGAAACGGCTGACTGCAGTGCGGCAAAACTAGTTTTTTGCAGATGTATGTATTTAAATGTACTATATGATTGAAATGAAGGCGCTTCTGAGGCCTCAGTTGAATTGGAATGCACAAGAAAGACACCATAGATTGCACTACACCCGAAAAACGTTGCTAAGTTTCAACTGGACTACATTTTGCAATTTGGAACTATAAAGTCTAGCCCGGTTAAAAAACAACGTAAGTATGTGCCATTAGTTTCTCTATGCACATAAGTATTTATCAGAAGAGCCAAAATTTATAGTTCCAAATTGCAAAATGCAGTCCAACTGTTGTCTCATCCCTTCATTCGTTAACGCCCTGGTAAAAAGTGGCAGTAGAATCTGTGTTCCAAAATACCATAGACCTTCAGCCGGCTGTAAGATTTCCAATAGCTGCTATAGCCGGCTACACAATTTCTTATAGCCATTTATAGCCGATGGCGATTAATTAAGAAACAACTAGGCGATAAAGCATGCTAAACGTTACTAATTACGGATGCTATGACTTGGTGAGTTTTTGGGCTGAGTACTGCTCTCTTTTTGGGTCGTAGTATCTTGATTTATTTTGCGAGAAAAGCTCTGCACTTTTGATGGATGCCTGCTATTCCTGATATATCAGAGCGCCTTCAGTTTCGTATGATACTGGGTAATACATCTGGTGTGAAATAGTTGCTTCAAGCGCCGTGGCACGCTGCGGCGCGGCAGGCGGGCAGCCAGCGCGGAGCGCGCATTGGCGCCTACAAACCCAACAGGGATACTTCACGCGTTGCGCAATGCGTGAAGTATCCCTGTTAGGTTTGTAGGCGCCAGTGCGTCGCCGCTCCGCTTTGTGTTAGGCTCTAATATTTAATCTGGCGGAGTCAGCGTAATGCAACTCATGATTTTGAAACGTTTGCATATCCTGTATGGGCTATTCTCATTTTATTTGATGAAAAAAATATGTATTAAGGGAAAATATAATGTGTGTTTTGTAAATATGAAGGTGGTTCCGTATCAAACTTAATGATTTCCAAAGCACACGAATTTCTACACAATTTCTTATAGCCTTTTATAATCGATGGCGAAAAAGCAACAGCCAGGCGATAAAGTATAAAGCCGGGCGATAGGAACTATATAGCCCGGCTGCATAATTTTTTATCGCTTCGTATAGCCCGGCCGTATGATTTTCTCCGCATTCTACAGCCAGCTGTATGATTTTCTGTAGCCTTCTTTAGCCGGCTATAAGAATTCCTATGGTATTTTGAAACGCAGCTCTTATTATCGCCAACTTTTACCAGGGCGGACGCATGTTTTACACTTTAAACAGCAAATTTTCCTCAATTACGAAAAAAATTCACGAAAAACTTCTTCGGCAAAAATTGCAGCCATTCCTATGTGATGAATAAATAAATAAACCATTGTCAAGTGAAATTTTGCAAAGTTACAATGCTATTGAACCCACCCCAGATTCTTTCACTTGGTTTGCGTGATGACTCGTATACCTAATGGTTTTTTCTTCCTTTTTTTGACCCATGGATCACGGACGTGCGTCTACAAGCTATGTTTGAACCCCCCCCCCCCAAAAAAAAAAAAAAATATAAATAAATAAATAAAACTTCATCTACCACCCGAGTGAGCGAGAAAGTGAAACGTGACGTGTACATGCACAAAAATTGACACGCTATCAAACCTATAGGTGAACCTATTAAAGATGTATATGTATATTTAAAAAAGAAGCGGATTCTTGTATATGAGTGAACTTTGAATATATATCAGGCCGATCTGAGCGAATTTTTTCTCGGGTGTAGTTATAAGTCCGAGGATTTAGGTACCAAATTTTATCAGATTCGAGCCTTTAAAAGTCCTTGCCTTTTTTTAAAAAAGATCAGAAAGGCTCTATTCACGGCGCTGTATACATATAGGCGCATAGCATCCCAGTTTTCTTTTCGTCGCTTTGCGCGGTCATTCACACCCAGCTTCCGGCTCCATGCTTAAACCTTTTGCAGGCTTCATTTCGATATTTTTGAGGACTCATGAAATCCACTTGCGACTTAAGTAGGCGAGACACATTCACGACCGACCTCAATTTCTAGAGACTTTTTTCTAACTATTCAGCAAATAAATAAATAAAAAAATAAAAATAAAAAAACAATAAAAAAAAAAAAAAAAAAAAAAAAAAAAAAAAAAAAAAAAAAAAAAAAAAAACGTTGAAACCATGTTTAAATTTGTCCTGAAGAAAGAACTTTGCTGCATGCGTCGCTCCTAGATCAGAGAGGGTAGGGGCGCAGCCCTCATTCATTTCAGGACATCAATGTCGTTATACATTGAAACAATCAGAGTATCATTCGGAAATTTTACAATATCGCGATCAAATTCAGTGGTAGTTTATTAAATCGGCACAATGGGCATCCCTGAAAATAATCCAAAGCAAAGCGCCTTAGTCAGTGTCGAATGCGACGAACACGATACTTTCATTTTAACTCCTGGATGCAACTATTCGGGCTACTGGGATGTCTGCGTTGCATACGCATGTAAATGAAGGCGTTTCGACTGTCCAGTTGGCACTCACCTTTTTGCCCTCGGTCCGCGGCGCGGGGCCGACAGCGGGACTGGAGAGTACACTGAGAGGATCTAAATTGGGCTGCATTTTGCAATTTGGAACTATAAATTCTGGCTCACCTGAAAGAACACTTATGTGCATAGGGAAACTAATGGCACACAAGTTATTTTAAACCGAGCCAGAATTTATAGTTCTAAATTGCGGAATGCAGTCCAATGGTCCGGGCGCTTTTAATTCTTCGTTCACACTACATTATGAGTGGCGGTAGCCACATCCGGACAAGTCACCTATCCTCCAACAATGGAGGTGTTGCATGTGTGAAGAATTTGCGATTTGAACACTAATTTTTATGTAAAGGTTCGCGAGAAATACGATGGTGCCACTGGTTTTCTCTGAAACAAACGCCCAAGCTCAAAAAAAGCTCTCAAGTTGAGGCCAAAATGGAGGGAATATCCCACGCTATCCTGAGAGTCCACCTCTACATCAAAACAAACTCTCCATGCAAAGATAGGGAGCAAATACATTGACAGGGCTGCCATTTTATTTAGGGACTCCAAAACTGAAAACACGGTAACCCTATTCATGAATTTGCTCCCTATCTTTGCATGGAGAGTTGGTTTTGATGTAGAGGTGGACTCTCAGGATAGCGAGGGATATTCCTTCCATTTTTGCTTCAACTTGAGAGCTTTTTTTGAGCTTGGGAGTAGATTTCAGAGAGAACCAGTGGCACCATCGTGTTTCTCGCGAACTTTTACATAAGAATCAACAGTCAAATCGCAAATTCCTCACACATGCAACATCTCCATTGGCAACAAAGCACAGCCCGGCCGTGGCACCGTCACCATAGCTACACGTACTTGGCTTATTTGGGTTTTTATTGTCATGGGAACGGAGTTCTCCATGATATTAGAATCGTTCCGTTGCTTTCGCTATGGGATTCCCTATACCTCTGCGACCTTGAGCGTTTCGCCCAGTCTCCGATTTTTGGTTGATTGATTTTCTGATGTATCAAAAACCGTTGTATTTTTTAGCCAATCATGTCTCTACGTCAAGTTGTGTTGATTGCTAAAATTCGCTTTCAGCGAGTTTTTTTCCACCTCGAGATGTCGTGTCTGACTGGTAAATCTGCGCAGAACCACGAAGTTCCGTTTTTAGGCAAATTCTTTTTTTTGGGAGGTTCTGATTGGTTATTTTTCGCCATCAGTTTTCTGTTCGTTGGTGCAAAAGATCGCCTACCTCGGTGTTCTTGAGAAGCCGCCATTATCCCACCTCAAATTTGAAAAATAGAAGTAAAGAAATAATAACCATCGTACAAGGTGGAAAATTGTTCTGGAAGACTCGTTACGGATAAAGAAGTCAAAATCAGAGCTCGATTGATTGATTTAATTCATGGATACGCAAATATTGCCTTAGCTCAACTGCCGCGATCGGAATGCGTGCTGGGATGGACCCCGAGACGCATTAAAACAGTGCGAATCATGGCTCATACAGCAATGCGCATCCCAAAAGCAGTCAAGGTCTCTTGTGATAAGTCCCGTCCATTTCCCGAGTCTTTTAAATGCTATTTTTACACCTGATCACGTGGAACCGTCATGGCCTAGTTGACTAAACCGCCTCGTAATTTTGATACGGTGCGGGCACCCGGCGATCGGGAGTTCGATACCCGACGATGGAAACTACCCAGGTAGCAATAGTAACAGTTCAAAATTGCAATTTCACAACAGTTTTTACACTGTTACTTTTGTGCACTTTTTCATCGAAAAATTTGCTCTAGTACAACAGTTGAAAAACCAACGGAAAAGAGAAGTCCTTTGCGACTATAATCACTGAAAAATTTTTCTTACATACTTAAAAAATACCAGTGGAAAATTTATAATTTAGTCATGTTTTCTGAAAATATAACACAAATTTAACTAGTGTTATACACCGATCGAAAAGGAAACTATTATTGCAATAAAAACATACTTGAAATAAAACGACGGTTTAAAATTCTCAATCAAAATCACTTACTTAACAAAACTTTTTTAAAGAAAGGAAAGTAGATTAACATTTTAATAACTAAAAAAAGTTAAAAAAATTATTCTAATTTATTTTTTTTTAAAGTTGATTTCATAAAACACAGAAGTAGACCATTTTGTTTTAAAAAAGCTATTTTACAAAACATAAAGTATTATACTGTACTAATGAGAAAAATTTAATCTAAATCAATAAAAAGATAAAAAAAAGACAATAAAAAACAAATTTAAATATCTCATTTGTTGCCATATTTTTGCAAAACACATTCTTATAAATAACCATGAAATATTAATTATTATTACATTATTTATTAAACAATATTGGTGAGAAACT